CATTCAAAGTTGCCATGACGACACTGGTATAAGCATTGACGTCATTGGACAAAGACTTCGAGGGATGTCCAAGGATGCCATCAGGTAAACCATGCCCGACCATTCTGTGTATTGCAATTTGTGATGGCAGTAGATAACTAGGAATATTTTATCAAATTTTTGTTATTACACTTGGAATCTCATTCATGTTGTTAGTCCTTGTTCGAATGCAGTCCAAAAACGAAGATTGACCTCTAGTGTCTGTGTATTTACTATGCCAATAACAATGACTTGTATAAGGCCAAAAAGTGTTAGTGACTTTTGTAAAATTTTGCTTCAAGAATGCCATTAAATTGCAAGACTTCTTAGCAGCAAAAAATACTACAGTATATTGCATATATATTGCCAGAGCATACATGCAGCAGACACACTGTTTTGTCCTTAGCTGTAGTACTTGAAACAGCATGCAATAAACTAATGATTTGTAAAATTCAGCACTTTTTGTTAGTAAAATCCATTTTTCATAAATTTGTACCACATTCTGTTTGACATATTTTCTTTATTTTCAGGAACGCTGTTGAATTTCTCAGCAATGAAGGTCATATTTACTCAACAATTGACGATGATCACTTCAAATCTACGGACAGTTAAAGATCATAAAAACAAACGAAACTACATTACAGCCAGTGAGGGCGTTGTTCCTGTGTGAACTTGTTTACGGATAAATGTAAACAGTGGTTATTGACATAGCATCTACACTGCCATTGATATGACTTTATTCCTCCTAATGATGGTATAAATGTTATCATAGTTGTTATTTCACTCATTAAAATATGCAACACTGTCTGCAGTGTGGTAAAAAGTTTGAGATTCGATGACAAATTTGAACAAAAGCAAGCAAGCAAACAGGCAGGCAGTCAAAGATGAGAATGCTGCTCCCTGGGAAATGAGCATATCAATATTGCCTTTTTTCATGTGGAATGAGTAAACACAAGTGGTGATAAGTCATGTATCATTGCATATTTACTGGTAAATAATAGCTAGAAAAAATGCACTTTATTCAACCAAATATTCTTATTCTATCTATCTAGTTGTTTGCATATGTATAGCATTAACATCCAAATATTTACCCCATTTGTATGAATTGATACAAAGAGTCATTTGACTCGGCATGGTTAAAAATGCAGCTCATGTTAGAACAATCTTTCTTTCTGTCATTGTATTTAAACATTTCAGTAAACAGACTTGTGCCTTAATATATATTATTTTTATATTACCTTTTTTACTTTATTATTAAATTCCTTGGCCCCCAGTACTGCTGCTAACTCTTTGACAGCCAGCATTTATATCCAAATACTAGCCATACCATATTAACCTGTCAGTGCTACCAGATGTTATGGTAATTAGCATCTCCTTATATGGCATTAATGAAGATATTCTTTGTATAATTCCACTTATCAGTAGCAATCATGTATTAAAAAACATTTTTTGTGAACCATTGTCAATCTTATCTCAGTATGTGTAATTTTGTGAGAATTTTTCTTTGTGTTCTAAGATAGTGTCAGCGACTTTCTGCAATCTTTGCTTCAAGTCATCAGAGTTCCTTCGGATTTCAGCAATACCTTTATGGATGAGACCCAACCAAGGTTATAGCTAGGAAATAGCAAGTGCCTGTCTAAAAACTATTCAAATGAAAATAGCAGTCCCTGGTCTGTAGCCATATTTTTCAATGAAAATTTGATAGGTTTGTAAAGATTCAGTCCCTGTGTAAAATGACAGACAGCCTGGGGGAATGAATGAGTTGGTTACACACAGGTTTTTGTGGGTCGTATAAACTAAATTCAGGATCATTTATTTCAAAGGACGATACTAGTGTCGCGCAGCGCATGGGTCTCGTATAAACAAAGATGGCGACTTTGACTGTTGTGCAGATTAGCAAGTACAAACTGAGACGTTATCAAGCTTCAATTAGGTGATTACCGGTAGGAGATATTGAAGGAGTCGCAGGTGGGAATTAGTTGCAAGTCGCACCCAGGTCAAACCTCGTGCATATGATTTCTATTAGAAGAGCACATTGGATTGTGGGAAAATCAATGTTTATCAACACAAATGTCGCACATGCAGTGCGATGACCACCGCCCCTTTAAGACTGCATACAATCAATGGTTTATGTTCATTTCTAAAATATCTAAGAAATAAGATAACTTCTTGAATACATTATACCAGAATTCATTAACTTTAATTTTCTAAGTATATATACACAAGTGTTTCACAGTACAGAAATCCACCATTATAGAGTACCTGAACCTGACTACTCAGACTTGTGAGCTCATAAAATTCAGTTATTGCCTTATGAGCCAAATAATGTAAAATGACTAATTTTCACTGGGTTTAAATTTCGCTGATTTACCATTTCAGGCATATTCAGTGGTTTTATCATTTAGATAATGTGTTCTATGCTAAATTTTACATATTCACTGGGTTTTAATTTAGCGCATTTTCCAGTCAGTGAAATAAGCAAAATTAAAACCCTGTGAATAATTAACCCTTTTACAGTAATGTAAACCCCTCCCACCTTCAAGGGAATCAGGATAAAGAGCTATAAGAAAACAAGCCATGCACGACACAGTCCCCGTTGGTTATCAAACTTAAGATATATAGTAATATAGTTGGAACAAAAACCTGTCAGAGATGTGGATCCAGAAGCTGATACATGACTGATGATTTTTTTAACATTAAAATGACTGACATCTTGTATCTGTGGGGCACTACCGTATCCCAAGGTGGTTGTGGTTAGGGTTTACATTGACTGACACACTGTTCTATTGATTACATGTTTAAAGACTTGAGGAAGCTGATTGATCTGATGCATGATTTTTTTAGAGAAGTAATAGGAAAAAGGTTCAAATTTGAGACTGTCAATTGTTCATAGACATTGAATCTTGTTAAATGTTTCAGTTTACTTTGCAGGATGGAATGCATGTTGAAGTGAATATACATTTACAGTGCTCTGTTAATGAACAGAAAACATCAAGATTCCCAGTAAATTCAACAGTAGATACTTTGCATAGTTTTGTATAATGAGAATTGCCTTGCGTATTTACATGTAATGAGTGAGCTCATCCAAGTCTCTGACCATATTAGCGAACAGGATTAAATGCACAATAGATTTGATATTGTTGATAACCAAAACCAGTCAGTAAACCAGCAGTATGCAATACTGTTTTTTTTTTTCACTGTGTAAAGTAGATGCCCTAAATATATACACATTTCATAATTAAAACCCACGAAATGATCATATTTCAGGTAATAACATCACCTGCTGAAAGCCTCTACAAATGGGCGAGTCAGGAGGCAATGTGTTAAAGCAGTGAAATATGTACCAACATTGAAAACAAATAGGAGCTACCATACATACAGTTAAGACTAGTAGTATTCCAATTTTTACAGACATGTATAATCTCTAGTTATTGCTTTGCCAGTGTCATAATACAGCAATTATTAACTCTGGCATTTGATAAACCTACAGCCATTGGTGTAGATTGCTTCAAACACAATCACTTTTACAATCAGCAGCCAATCAAAACTATCGTTACAAACAACTTTCTAACTTGGACACTCTCTAATTGGTTGATTTTTGCATACAAGACAGAATTTGATACGTCAAAATAAGTTGCTTCACACTGACTTGATATTTGTTGCAATGTACACCAGTAACTGGTAAAAAAAAAAAAGTATGGAGTCCTTAATCCACCTTAGATTTTGGATACAGACAACTGGATTTTTTTTCTGCCATTAACAACTTAACTTCTATATTTGATTACAAAAAATACAGTAAAACCTTAAGTTTCTAAATTGGAAATTAACAGAAATGAAGTCTATTACACAGTATATACAATCAATGTATTTGGAAAAAGAAGTCCACAGCTTGCCTGAAAGATTTCACTTTGGGTTACCAGTATACAAAGGGATCTTCATGGCAAAAATAATTTGAATATACACATACATATATATTTATTACAAAACTACAATTGCACAAGGTTGAATAAAAGCTACAAATGGTATCCGCTTTTATTGCTTTATAGACCCTGTTAGGTGATGCATGTGATAAGAGCTATCAATTGTAGATTTCATCTTTGTGACCTTATAATGACAACACACCTTCAGGCAGTCGTGATATTCTTCAGAGAACACGATAGCCAATTTTATTTGACGATAGCTTGTGTTACATCACAGATTTCTCCAGTTACAAAATCAGTCTGTTCAATATATAGATACAGTTTTTTCTTTGGAATTGTTTTTTTTATATTTTGTGAATTCATTGCTTATTGCTGTATAAGGTCATACAGGAACAAAAATTTTTTTGACAGGCTCCAAATGTTTTTGATAGACATGATATTACTGTATGCGGACTACAGTGTTTATACATGGCATTCTATGGGAAAAAATAAATCACGATTCATTCAATTCGAAAATGCTTCTTGAAATATATTTGAAAAAAGGGGGTATGGACCTATTTGTAAGGGCAGTTTTAGTATTTTGCTCTATGCTGATACATTGACGATAGAACTGTTCTCATGCAAAAACTGTATTGATTCAACCATAAACCATGGCATTAAAATGTACCATCTATTATGTTGAGTAAAAAATACCACCATGCAAGATGTGTCCCATCAGACCACCTAAGTAAGTTGAAATTATCAACAGTAAAGAACAGATTTGCAGGTTCCAGGAGCACTATTCTGTCTGATTACGTCGTTCATGATGTGTATTGGTCACGGTCTTGGCATTCGAACAAATGCAGCAAACGTTACAATAGCGCCATATACATATATGGAGCATAATTTATTGAAGCTTTTTGCAAAGCACCACGGACAGAATTATGGAAGTGTGGTGCTAACTGACTGTCTGTTGAAATGTAAAATACAGAAATCCTGATTATAAATACTAGTAGATCGGAAACCATTATAAATTTGGCATACAATCAATACTATATCATAGTATTGGATCTCTCATCAGTGGTGTTGCTTGTACACTGATTAGAGGTATTATGATCGCCTCTGTTCTGGTCCATTATAGTGGGAATTTGAGTTAAGTATTGACTAGCTACGAACAAGTTAGTAGATTATATGACGTACCAGTAATCAAACAAAAGTACTCAGATATTGGAGCCAACAAGTAGTCTATTAAACTCTTATACAGTTATTGAGAACCTCAATATTACACTGCTTAAAATTTACAATTGTTCAACTGTTTAAATAATTACTAATAGCCAAATTTTAAATAATCATTTTTTTGCTTAATTATTCAAAGACCCCTCCCCAAAACTTCCACAACTTGAATATAAATTGACATTCTGGTAAAAAACTAGATTTCATTGTACCACAAACTGTCCTATGTTCTACTATTATGTCCATTAATGTTCTGGGGTATAGTAACCCATCATGCAAAACACATTTTTTACAATTTCAAACAGAAGAGGAATGTTTAAATTTTTCCCAGAAAAACATCATTGTTTTCATAATTCACCCAATAAAAGTGCAAATCCCTGAACTATTTGCATAATTGAATTTTGATCTTTAGCCCTTAACGTCCGGTCTGTTATCAATAAGGATGTCCACTATTCCGGGGTCAGCGAGGGTACTGATGTCACCAAACGAACGATCATTGACAGCGATTTTGCGGAGAACACGTCTCATAATTTTCCCGGATCTTGTCTTAGGGAGGCCAGGTGCATTCTGGATAATGTCAGGTTGAGCAAATGGTCCAATTTTATCTCTCACTGAATTGAAAAAACAAAACAATTTGGTTAATGAATGTGTGCGTCAAAGGGAAAATCATCAACATTTGTACATATGTCAGTAAATTTATGCAAAATTGAAGACCACACAAATTGTACGTTATGGGCAGTATTCAGTGCTATGGTTGTCAATGTGTTAACACATTGGAGGCTATGCAAATTGTACTCTATATGTTAGGATCAAATGGTTGGCGATGGTTGTCAATGTGTTATTTTAACAAGAGATGAACTTGTTTGAGTTCAAGCATTGTAGATGCATATAATGTCTAAAAAACACACTCACCTAAGGTTTTCAGTTCCTTTTCTAATTCCTTAGAAAATTCAGTTCCCTGTGAATGAATATAAACATATCATATTAAGTGTCTATATGTTCCATAATTAATGTAAGAAATGAAATAAGCCTTTAACATACAACATTACAATACAGTGTTACAATGTTAACAAACAACACTACAAGACAGTGAACATGTCATGCCAACATTAAACATTACAAAACATAAACACATGGTGAACATGTTGCAATGTTTACATACAACATTACAAGGCAATATCCATGTCACAATGTTAACACAACATTACAAAACATAAACACATAGAGAACATGTTACAATGTCAACATACAACATTAGAAGACATTGAACATGTCATGCCAACATTAAACATTACAAAACATAAACACATAGTGAACATGTTGCAATGTTTACATACAACATTACAAGGCAATATCCATGTCACAATGTTAACACAACATTACAAAACATAAACACATAGTGAACATGTCATGCCAACATTAAACATTACAAAACATAAACACATAGTGAACATGTTACAATGTTTACATACAACATTACAAGGCAATATCCATGTCACAATGTTAACACAACATTACAAAACATAAACACATAGTGAACATGTTGCAATGTTTACATACAACATTACAAAACATAAACACATAGTGAACATGTTGCAATGTTTACATACAACATTACAAAACATAAAAGAACATGTATATGTATAAAGTTCTTTATTCAGATGAAATAGGACTAACAGAATCATGACAATGAGAGTCAACTTACATCAACAAGACAGGCAAAACAATATGTGGATTCCCCTTTGATTGAATGAGGACGGCTAACAACGGCAGCTTCAGCTACTGACGGGTGCTCCACCATTACACTTTCAATTTCGGCAGTACTCAGTAAGTGACCGGATACATTCAACATGTCATCAATCCGACCGGTAATCCAATAATAACCATCGGCATCACGACGACAACCTAGAAAGGAACAATTTTGATACTTTTAGCTATAAAATGGGCTGCCATTCAGCTACCTTCAAAAGGATCATGAAACAAATGCATGTGCATAGGTTTGATATAATGTATGTGTGAAGTTTGAACTTGATCGGTCCAAGCATGTATGAGATATGGCTGGATATGGACGGGCGCACAGAGGTCAATCCACATGTCTCTGTTTTCAGACTTCATTTGAGTTTCCACATGTGTTACGTCTGTCCATAAATCAGCAAATTGCTAAACTTCCCAATAGTGAGGAGTGACAAATTTACAGTTCCTGTACTTACCATCCCCAGTTACGTAATACCCGGGAAATTTGGTAAAATATGTTTTTTCAAAGCGTTCATGATCTCCATATACAGTACGCATTATACCTGGCCATGGCCTTTTGAAAACCTGCAAACAAGTGAGTACTGTTTAATGCAATAATAGAAAAAATAAACACGATTTTTTTTCTTTTAGAAATTTCAATAAACCATTCTTTTTTGCGTTATAAGCATACTGTACTCGTCTGACTTAGCGCACATGCTCGACGACATGCTTTGATAACAACTTGAATGAGTAGTGTTGAAATGTTTTAGAACGAGTGATGATCCGTC